CTTGAAGAACAGATGGCCACACTTCAACCCACCACATGGATCAATCAACTTCTCCAAATCACCTCACATCTCGGCTTCTCAATATAATACCTATTCTCACCCAGACATCAGGCCAAGGCAATATTCAAATAAAGAGTTCTGGATGTTAATGCCCTGATATTGAGTCGCTTGCAAACATCAGGTCATTGAAACGGCTGGCCAAAAACAAAATGTCCTTCCAGACAGAAAAATACTTGACAATGGATTTGGCTCAAAACCACAGGATAGCTCTTACCAGAGCAAGATTCAAGCAGTTAGATTCTATGGTCAAATACAGACGATTCCACCAAGTGCCATATCCTGCCAGAATATATATTTGTGGAGCATCAGAAATAGAAGACATTGCACATGTTCTGTTCAACTGTCAATCATATGCCTCAATAAGGGCTCAGTACTTACAGACACTACTTGACAGAACCATATATTGGGATTCTAACAAAAGATTATCTTATTTCCTTCAGGGCACAAACAAATATGTAGCCACTAGAACTGTCAAATTTATAGTCAGGGCTGTCCAACAGGGAACATGTTTTATAGAACACATCGGGGTTGCATGCAGAGGTAATAAATTCCCCTAAACATACTGTTTTCAAACTTTAATATTCATTTTATTATATATATCTGCACTATTTTATCCTACTTTTTATCCTTACTCTATCTTACCTTACTACATTTATCTATTTTTATCTCACTGTAGTCTATTTTGTCCTATTTTACTGTATCTCACTTTATTCCATTTTATTGTATCTTACTCAAGCTGATGCTTATGCTTTGATATGGTCAAATGACTAATCAGTAAAGTCTACTACTACTACTATCCTTCAAAAGATGATTGAGATAAGTCATGAAAGATCCCCAAATAAGTCACTTTGAGTTCTGAGACATAATGGGATATAAACAGAAGAATAAAAATAAAAACAGGCTTAATTGGTTTAGGAAACCTAATTCCCCAAAATAGAAAACTTCAGTCCTATATACTTGCATGTCTCAGCTCTTATCTGCATCATTGTCCCCTTCTGGAAATACAAACAGTATAGTTTACAACTTCTACAAACAACTCATTGCTGTATATATAAATGTCCTTGGGCCACTATATGTGCACATGGCAAACACAGCATTCCCAGATGTTTGGACTACAGTTTCTGTAGTGTTCAGAGTGTTGACTAGAACAAAACATATTCCAAAATGTCAAAGATGCCACATTGCCAACCTCTGGGTATCACTTTCTAAAACATGTAACATTTGGTCTACAATACCATAATGCCAGAGGTCCCCAATCCCTGGGCCGTGGACTGATACCGGTCCGTGGCCTGTTAGGAACCGGGCCGCACAGCAGGAAGTGAGCGGCGGGTGAGCAAAGCTTCATCTGTATTTACAGCTGCTCCCCATCGCATGCATTACCACCTGAGCTCCGCCTCCTGTCACATCAGCGGCAGCATTAGATTCTCATAGGAGCGCGAACCCTACTGTGAACTGCACATGCGAGGGATCTAGGTTGCGTGCTCCTTATGAGAATCTAATGCCTGATGATCTGAGGTGGAGCTGAGGCGGTGATGTTAGCACTGGGGAGCGGCTGCAAATACAGATTATCATTAGCAGAGAGGTCTGACTGCACAGAGATCATAATAAATCAATTACTTGCAGACTCATGTCAAAATCCTATCATGTAATGCGCTTGAATCATCCCGAAACCATCCCCCCCGCCCCGGCTCCATGGAAAAATTGTCTTCCACGAAACTGGTCCCTGGTGCCAAAAAGGTTGGGGACCACTGGCATAATACTACAGATGATGAAAAAAAGCCCACAAAAGAAAACTTGAATAGTTCGGGCAACTTGAAACAATTACTAAGAGTACAGATGATATCAACTGATCTAGATAGAAGAGTGTTCATATCTAGAATAGCCAAACGTTTTGAGTATTACAATTTCAGTTGGGCAAATATAGGCGTCATGAGAGAACAGAATACACACACAGGTTTTATTTAGTAACACTATTTATACAAGTTAACATGCTAGAAAAAGCATAAATGATACGTAAACAATTGTTTACAGAATACTTTTTATCCATAAAGGTGCAAATGTTCAATATGTAAACACAAGAATGCCAACCTTTAGGGCAAAAGATTTTATCATCTCAAGTAACATCTCCTAAAAATTGACTTGTGATTCTCCACCCCACCCCAATCTATGAATAGATATAGTAGACACTGAAGATGCTTGAATTTATAAACAAAGTTATTTCTTATAAAGGTGAAAGCAGGACACTTTAGTCTCACTTGTTCTTTCCACTGGTTATAATCCACCAACATCAAAGCAGATTATCAACTCTTCTGCAGCTTTTGGAATTACAGGAACTGGCCAGTGTCACGGCCCTGTGAAATTAAGGATTGTGATCACCTAACTCAGATGTAAGCCATACACACCTATCCTTTCTTCCTAAACTGCCTGATTCAGCTACAATGCTGGCATTGTTGTAATAAATACATTTTTACAATCCAATTTCCATAAACTGGTCTAGACCCCTTCAACAGCATAAAACTACATCTTAAGGATAAATATGGAAAGCTAAACTGAAAGTCCTAATGTTCTAATCACTTCTTTCAGAAGCATAGTAAGGCTGGCCTTCTGATGCCTTGGAATCCAGAAATTCAGACATTTAAACCAGAGTAAGCAGAGTACCTGAGGCAATGCTCTAAAGTAGGAATAGGAAATAAAATAGATTAACTACTTCTGAGGATACTTTTTCCCTTTCTTTAATCCATACTGCAAGATTACAGCCCAGATTTGTGTTTGTGTATTAGAGATATGTCCCCACTATGCCAATAGTGAAATGCATCTAAAGGTCGTGCACAAATTTCAGTGAAATTAACGGCACTAGAATAAAAGATCTGGGTTCTTCAATCGCTTCTATTTAGTTTCTTGGAAACCATCTAATAAATTGTGCTAAAAGTTCCATATTTCTATTTCTTGTTCCAGTAATTAGATCATGAGTTTGCAATACTTTGTTCTTATTGTTGCAGTTTTCTGAGTAACACTGATGTCCTTAATTAATACCTGTGTGCTTATATATATATAAATGGAGCAAGTCTCAGTTTTAAGAAAGTGTTTTTGTTCTATACACTCAGTATAATGTATTATTTTAAACAAAATCTATCACTTATCCTCCGAAATGAAAAGGCTGTATGCCACTTTCTTTACAACGAGTCAGATGCAGAGGATCCTATGGCTTTATTATATCCTCTCTGAACAAGGCAAATAATTTTTAGAGCAACGTTGCTCTTTCAGCTGAAGAGAGGCCTTGTCCAACTCTTACAGGGGCTCACCTCTTTGAAAGAAGTCACATATATCTGGGATCTTAGATAATGCTTGGAGTAAAGATTCCAGTTCCATCAGAAAGATAATTACATTAGGATAGAGAGACAAAGACAAGGAAATTACCGTTCCAAAATTATTGTTCCAGGTAGTTTTCTGCAGTTGGTTAGCATAATCTTCCTTAATTGTAGTAGAGAAGAGGGCAAATGTTTGGAATACCCACTATAGTTCCAAAGGAAGAGGCACAGCGAAGAACTTAAGTGTGATCTCATTTCACTAGAGTCTTGAAGGGCTCTTAAGTCACCTAGCTCAAACGTTTCAGGTGGAATGAGTAAACAGACAAATTTTTCCCTTTGGCTTTTTACCATATATGGGATTCGCAATGTGTCATTTTGATTACCCCCACACCTCCTCCAAGCCGACGGTAGTTCATTCCTCCATACAGCCTGCAAAAGAAATGGTATGCTTATTCTTCTATAACAAAAAATACAAGAATCACAGATAAGGCTGCTGAAAAGCCCAAACTGAGGACTCTAAATATAATTAAATTAGAAAATGGGACACAGAAAGTCATGTATATATTAAATGTATGCAAATTTACATGATGGCTTATACGTTAACAAGCTTGTATAAGAAGTTCACGGAAGAAGGTTTTTCATCACTTCCTCACAAACCTTATACCTTTAATCCTAATATTATATACCTGCTATGATGAATTAAATAATTAAAATTTGGATGTAACAAAATACAATAATAAAAATATATTAAAACCATAAAATCATATGAAATGCCATATTGAATAAGAAAGTTTTTAGCATGAGCTCTGTTTTTTTCAGGCATAATTTTAAATTATTATTAGAGAAGATCAATTATTGACTACACTTTATTCATCAAAACGTAAATGTGTTTTCCTAGAGGCTGTTAACTGGTTGTGATCACACCTCATATTAAGCTATGACTGTAATCAAGGTTTGTTGAATAAACCAAACTGAATTGTCAATAGTCATGTTTTGATGAATTCATGGTTTGCTTTCCTTCCTTTTCAAGAAATTCTTTTCTTGCACCTTTGTGGATTAGTTAGAAGTTTGGGCAAAGCTAAAAACAAGATGGAAATAAGCAAAGAAAAAACAAGTGTCATGCTCACATGTGTTAAAATGCAATTAGTAAGCTAGCAACATCTCTTGCATGTTCTTAAATTTTCCTCATATAAATTGATTAGTAGAATATTTTTAAAATTAGAATGAATATACCTTGCGTACACCAAGTAAAGCTATCTATTTGTCTGAGGTCTTTCTCTACATTTATCTATTTACGGTAAAATCTTCAAGTCAAGCTCAAGCACTGGTGATTTCACAGACAAATTCTGTACTGGCAATAAAACAAATGACTTAACATTGCTTTTTTACTTTTTTCTTTTTTTCAACTTTCCAGTCTACTCTCAGCTTTTAGCTTTTTTACATCAGCCAATTTTGTCATGCTGCCATCTAGCCAGGCAGTCTGTATTGATTTTCTAAGAACACAGATAGCAGATTTACGTGATAAAATAATGTTAATTCTTGCCCTTGGACATTATTTTATCTATTCATCTATTCGTTCATTAACTTGATGCATACAGGTAGTACTCGAGTTACGACTGCAATTAGGATGGGATTGCTGTCACTAACTGATGCAGTCGTAAAGTGTGATGTCACATGACTGCATCACTTACTGATGGCAATCCAGGCAGTCCCAGTTGTCATCATAACCCAAGATGCGAGCATCATTAAGTGGGAAACAGAGGGAGTCCTAGGTAAGGAGTGCGGGGTGCCGCAGGAGGGAGGCCCTGGGAGGCCTGGTGCAGGATGCGCATGAGTCAGGAGAGGGAATGGTTGGTGCAATGCGAGCTCAGAAAGGCTGGGGAATGAGGGCATGGGGTGTGTGCAATTGCAGGGAGGCTGTGGGAAGAGGGTGCGGGGTATGTGCATGTGTGCGCGCAATTGCAGGGAGACCAGGGAAAGAGGGCACGGCAGTGTGTGTGTGCAAGTGGAGGCCGAGGAAAGAGGGCGCAGGATGCGTGTGAGCAAAGAAAGGCTGGGAGCGGGGAGACTTACCCCAGTGACTTGCGATCTTCCTTGCTGGCTTCCCATTGACTTTGCTCGGGGGAAGCCAGCAGAGAAGGTTGCAAATGGTGATCATGTGATTGCGGGGTGCTTGGAAACCGGTCGTAAGTGCAAACAAGTTGCCAAGCACCCAGATCGTGATCATGTGACCAAGGGGGTGCTGAGATGGCCACAACTTTGAGGACTGGTCATAAGTCTCCTTTTTCAGCACCATCGTAACTTCAAATAGTTGCTGAATGAATGGTTGTAACTCAAGGACTACCTGTATAAAAGTTGTTCTCTGTGACCCTGTTGTCTAAAACCTGGTTCTACATGTTTTGAAACAGCAATTCTGTATTAATATAGAGGTTCCTCTAAACTCAAGTATATATTGGAAAAGATTTTTTTCACAGAAGATTCTTTGAAAAGAGCACTATTACTCAACTTGCAAAATTCAATCAAATATTACTTCTTAAATGCACTGAGTATTATGTTTGGATTTTTTTAAAAAAAGTATTTGGATTCTATTCAAAACCCAATTATGCTTTCAAAAAAATTAGTATTTCAAAATAGCTCACATTGTGTGTTAAGAAAAGCTGAATTCCGCAACTGATATTATTCTCTTATAATTTATTCCATAAATAGAAGTAGAAGTAAATAAATAGATAGATATAGAAGTAAATAATTTTGGAAGATAATGGATACTTTGCCAATGGAGCCCCTTTCTTTGCCTTACCTTCCCAGAGTTCAACTGGTATTACTGTACACATGTTTATGCTGTTTTAATCAAACCCACTTTCATTTCAGAAATCACAGATCATGAATTCTGAGTATGTATTGCTCCTGACCTTAAACCCACAGCGGCTGGTTTGTACAGATATGCTACACCATAAATGTGATTTACTTGGCTTTGGTTTAGTGCATAAGGAGCTTGGTGGAGGAGAGTAACAAAATGTGGTCATGATGCAAATTCTGCCTCTAAGTATGTGTAAAATCACCCATTATGGCTGGTACTCCATAGTTTATAGCTTGTAGCTTATATGTGAATTAATCCATTATTTTCAGGGACTGACTGTATAATCAGAGGGATAATGTCGAAATAAGTGCTGTGTGACTTATGGCCTCATTATCATTTTTTAAAAGTTAATTTACCTCCATGTGTTGGCATCCGGATCAAATACCTCAATTGTCTTCAAGTATGTTGTGCCATCAAAGCCTCCTACAGCCATTAGCTGTCCATTCACCACAGCAAGTCCAACCTAAGAGATAATACCTCTGTTATTTATATAAGTAAGGATGCGGCAATACACATTTTTGATGTTCAGTGTTCTAAAGGGAAAACATTCATGAAAATCTACCGCACCACTTTTCTTTTGGTGGAAAAGTGGCTGAAAAGGGGTAATATGGAACGTAATTTGGGCTTAATTTGTTGATCAGACTACATCTACCAATATCATATGGCCTACAGGTCACTTTAGGTAAGATTATGCTGGTTTATGCATTTCCGAGCTCATCTGTCACAGCACCTCCATGTATATAGTACCCAACACATGCAGGTCTAGTCTCCAAGAGAGGTAGTCCTCAACTTAACGATGGCAATTGAGACTGGAATTTCTGTTGCTAAGTGATATGGTCATAAAGCATGACTGCATCCTTAGGGGTGGTAATCCTTGCAGCCTTGATTGCCATTGTTAACTGAACCCCATGGTTGTTAGGTGAGGCAACTTCCTGCTGGCTTCCTACAATCAAAGTCAGCAGAGAAGTCAGCAGGAAGTTGCAAGTCCCAGGCCAGCAGGCAGGTGGAAAGGTGGCTAATGCTGGGTAGGGGACGGAGCAAGAGGGTGTGTGGGGGAGGGTCGGGGAGGATGCACAAGGGTGTGAGGGAGGGTCGGGGAAGGTGTGTGAGGGTTTGAGGGAGGAGGTCCAAGGGGATGCGTGAGAGGCGTGGTATGGGTTGGGGAGGGTGTGAAGCGGTACACGAGAGGTGTGGTGTAGGTTGTGGAGGGTGCAGGAGGGTGCGAGGGGGTACACGAAGGCATGGCATAGGTCAGGGAAGGTGAGAGGGTGTGTGTGAGAGGTGTGGCATGGGTTGCAGAGGGTGTGAAGGAGTGCACGAGAGGCCTGGCATGGATTGGGGAAGGTGTGCAAGGGGGAGGCCAGGGAGGGTGCATGAGTGGCAGTGCAGGTTGAGGAGGGAGGTGCATGGAGGGTGCATGAGGGTGGGTGGGGGTGCATGAATGGCCAGCATGGTGTGAGCACAGAGGGGCTGGGGAAAGTTGCACGGGTGGGGGAGACTTACCCCAGCAACTTGAGACCTTCCCTGCTGGCTTCCCCATTGACTTTCTGGGGAAGCCAGCAGGGAAGTTTGCAAATGGTGATCATGTGATCGTGGGGCAATGCAACTGGTTATAAGTGCAAACTGGTTGCCAAGTGCTCAGATTGTGATCATGTGACCACAGGGGTGCTGGGACGGCCGGAACTCCAAGGACCGGTCATAACCACCGTTAGTTTAGTGCCATTGTAACTTCAGATGGTCACTGAACAAATGGTCATAGGTTGAGGACTACCTGTAATTATCTTTATGCGTACATAAAACACTTGGGATAATAACATTGCACAGATTAACTTATGTACCTACAGTAAGTTTCATTTAAGTAGTGTACAGTATCTAAGGATCTTCCATTAAAAATGATTTTAAAATGGTCTTTCTCATACTGCATAAGCTGATGCTATATAAATCATTATTACAGTACACATTAACATGGAGCCAGGGTTCCAAGTTCATTGCTATCATATCAACTATATGCACAAAATAAACACATTTCCCCAAAAGACTACCAACACTGTGCTACCTTCTTCTTTTCCAAATTCTAAGGTTTTTATTGTCAGCCTTTGCATTCCTATCAAACTGGGCCTTCTTGAACAGTCTCTTAATCCTTGGCAGTCTAATCATCAAAGATATGGAGGAATAGCAGCCAACCAACTTAAGATCTTACCCCACTACGGCGTGATGTCATAGCTACTACAGGGGACCACTGGTTCGTTCTGGGGTTATATCTCTCAGCACTGCTAAGTTCGGTAGTATCATCTCTGCCTCCCACAGCATAGATCATATCTTGATACACGGCACACCCTAGGTGCTTACGTCGAGTGCCCATAGGTGCAATTGTATGCCAGCGATTCTCCTGGGGGTTGTAGCGTTCCACTGTGGATGGTTTTTATGATACTGGTCAAACAATAAAGACATCTAACAATAGCAAAACATAGTCTACTCCCCTTAGACATCAACAGCTGCAGCAAGGGAATAATCAGAAGATCAGATGAGATATTGGAAATTATCAGACTAGGCTGATATAATTCAGTATTCAGTTTATACTGGTGGCTCATCAGATGTTTCCAAGAAACACAGAAGAGTGATAAAAAGGTAGCAGCTGGCATGTATTATCTCTCAAATCTGGAGATATATTAACTAAAAAACAGTGGGTTCCATTTAGTTATCATATCCTACATGAACTTTTTAACCTTAATGAACTGTTAACCGCTCTTAATCAAGCCTCTCAACTTATTTTGGAAAATTGCCTATCAGACAGAGATATCTGATCTACTTAATGAAGAATTAATGAGGCATAACAACTTGGTAAAGAGTTAGTCCTCCTGCTGTCTTATAGGCTCAATTATTTTCTCAGTAACACTGAAAACAATTGTTTCGCTGTTCAGTTCTCCTGAGCAACAAAGGGATGAAAGTAAACTGAGCTGGTACGGGAAATACCTGTGTTTAGAGGTGATGTCCCATCAGAGCCTCCAACAGCATACAGGAAGCCCCCTAACACAGCCACAGCTACCCCAAGTCGCCTAGTACTCATGGAAGCTACACGAGTCCATTTGTTTTCTTTTGGATCATACCTGAAACAAAGAGAAAGAATATCTCACTGCCAGTAAAACTAATTCTCTATCTTCCTGAAGGAACTCAATTTCCAGTTTGATTTTTAAAATACCTTTCAACAATGTTGAGACAGGAAACACCATCCTGGCCACCTACAGCATACAGATATCCACCAAGTACTGCCACTCCAACACTGGTTCTGCAGGTGCTGGTAGGTGCCACATCGCTGCTCCACTGATTGGTCTTTGGATCATACCTGGAAAAAAATATATTTCAGGCCTTTGTGGTAATTACCTCATTAAGTTCTCACTCTTTCTATTATGAGTTCTGTATTTTCTTCTCTTGAAACCTCTGCTTTTCATCTATATGGTTAAGGGTTCATCTGGATAGAGATTAAATGTTAGACTAGAAAGCAAAACTATTTTCAGGATAGTATTTCTATTCAGAATTAACAACTTTGGTTCTCTTGATGATAATTCAGTCCAGAGGAAGGAAGTGAAATTCTTCTTGGTTTTTTTGGAAACTTTTACTACCTGATACTCAGGTTTTCTCTGGATTGCTCATGGTTTTTAAGGTATGGTCCAGTTTATGTGTTGAATTTAAACTGCTGTTTTTAATGCTGATTTGTAGTTGATCCTAAGATTGCTTATATTTTAAAACTTTATATAGTATTAATGCAAGCTATCTATACAGAGGTGGAGAAATCTGGTACCTAAGAGCTGTATTTATGGGGAGCAAGAATTATGCGTATGTGTGGGTGGAAAAGATGCTGCCAAATTGGCAGGGTCTTGTTGCCAACATGGCCCAAGTTATGATTTTCTGATTTTTCTTTTTTAAGTTAGCGTGGAGAGATTTGGAATTGTTTCTTTGGGTTGCTTTCTACTGTTATTACAAAGCATATTTTGGGATTACATAAAATGTTTTGCGTGTTTCCTCTGACATGAGAGAAAACTGCACTGCCTATTTTTTAGTCTGAAGGTATTCTAGGGGGCATGGACTGCCTATTTCTACCTTAAAAGGAATCTAAAATCCCTGTATAATTTTTCTGAACGGGAAGAAAAATCCAGAGTCATTTTAATAATATTACAAAAAGCATATGAAAAAAGAGATAATTTCTATATTATATTTATTATTAAGCAATATATTAGGATATAATTAAATAGCATGATGATCTTAAAAAGTCTTCCTATGGTTGAAACTAAACCTTTTTCTCCCCATCCAGACTTCAATAGCCTCTAAGTGCCATGGCCTGGACCCCAAGGACATAACTGGGGTTGAGATGCACAACTGGGTATCATCTGCATAATGGTGACAGCCAATCCCATGCCACTGGATAAACTCGCCCAATGGCCTCATGTAGATGTTAAATGGAAAAGTTGAGAGAGCTGAGTCCTGAGGACCCCCATAAAACAGAGGCCTTGGATTTCATCTCCTCCCTTCCAACACCAACTAAAACTGGCCCTAGAGAAAGGAATAAAACCACAGTAACACAGTATCCCTGCTCCCAACTCATATATTGCAATTTATGATATATCTTGCTTTTCCATTAAATAAATGAAATAGCAGCTCATGTACAGTTGATTACACATCACTGCTATAATATCAACAAGCAGGTGCACACTGAAGAACCCTAAGTTTTCTGTGATAAGAACTTACCTTTCTACACTATTTAGATAGGAAGAACCATCATGTCCTCCTACTGCATAAAGAAGATCATCCAAGACACTAACTCCAACACCACATCGTCTTTTGCTCATGGAAGCCACCATCCGCCACTCATTTGTTTGAGGATCATAGCGCTCAACACTGGAAATTGCATCTCCGCTACACCAGCCACCCACTGAGAAAATCAAATTGGGAGACAGTAGAATGGCAGGATATAATTAGACATTATAATTAAGATAATATTTTATCTTTGTATATATGATTCTGAAGTACATACTGGACCCAGCAGGCAAACTGCAGCTGTCTGATGACCCTTGAGGAGGAGAAGACAGGTAACAGATACAAGATTGTTGTTTTTTCCATGATGTGCAAGAAGGCAATATATGGGTACAATAAAAGACACTGTTTATTTTAGAGGGTGCTAGTATCAGAAGAAAGGGAACGCACAGAAGCTCCTTAGAAAAGCAAAATGTAGAGGTGCCAGATCAGCCTATAATAAGGTCACGCCATGTTGTTATCAGAGTCTACATTCCTGTTGCAAAGGTCATGTTATAATTTACATTGCTTTTGTATGTTCTATGTATAATTTCAGAGAGTATATAATCTGTAACCTTATGAGCCTTGGGGCTCTTCTGCATTTCTTCAGTAAGGAGCATAGTGATCACTCTAGTTGTGAATGCCAATAAAATATACTTTGTTGCATCTATCTCCAAATGCTTTGGTTCCTTACTTAAGTGGGCATTTTTCCCACAACTGCTTGGCATGGTCAACAAGATCAGAAGGTCAGGAGCTGGGGCAGTCTTCTGCATTTGGCATGCCCCTGTCACTTTTGCAGATTCATGGTCTCTGCCTTTGCCCTTTATCCTCACCAATCCTAAACCTATTTGGAGATATTTCTTTGGGGTTTTGGTAGCAGAGAAACTTTTTGAGGACACAGCAGGAGCAAGTCTGGGACTCTGCAAGTGCAAATCTGAGTGAGTTACTACTTTGAATGGTGGTTGTGGATTCCTCCCATCTGACTCTGCAGGAACAACTAATGGGCAGTGAGGGATTTGTGAGCCAGTATACATAGATGTAAGTGCAAAAGAGACCAGGGGACAGAGGAATGGTAATTGTTGTCTACTGTTTGTCTTAACCTCACTGACTGTGGTGTGTGTCTGTCCATTGATAAATTCCTGCCTGTATACCAGGACCGGGTGTCTCTCCCTCCCAGCCACAGTCACTTGTGGAACTAGGGGAGATTCCCCTGTGACCTCTGCACTGTGAAACACAAGGGGAAGATAGTTGATTCTCATGTCTCTACAGGGTTGTGAGAGGCTTTGTGCATGGGTGTAAGTGAGAAAATTATAAAGGCACATCAACAGCAGTGCTGGAAGACCAAATGTAACAAATAATGTGTACTCCAAAATATATCTGTATCAGTTTTATTTACTGTTCTGCCTTTTATGCTTCCCTTTACTGAAGGATTTCAAGGTAACCCAGCCAGGTCACTTTTACTTTTATTACTACAACTTCTTTGGCTGTGCTCTTCCTCTTCTTCATCATAATTTCATATTTCTGCCTGTGGAACCTGCATTTTGTAAGACACACAGTGAATTTTGCATCACACCATAGTCCTATATTTTTCTCCAAGTAAGGAGGTTCATAAACAAAGATTTCTAGGGATTAGGAAGAAGCAAAGGGTCCTCACAACTGACGAAAATGCTGAGAACTTTGGACATATATGCATACCTGCAAAGAGTACTTCTCCACAACGGATGGGTTTGCGTGGTCGAGTTCTGGGACCCTGCATCAGTGGTCGTTCTTGGGGCAACAGCAGGTAGTTCTTAGCTTCATCTACTAAATCCCTATAAATAAATTAAAATACAACCCAAGGAAAACTAAGTACACCTAATCAGAATTGTTAATATTGATGGTATTATTTTATATGGAAAGATGAAACACAGCACTTTGCCAGCGGAGTATTTTTCAAGTTTTACATTCTGATAAGTTTTCTTTCCACATTTCCCATCCGAAAATTTTAGTTTTCTTGAAAAAAACACCAAGACCATGCCAGTTTTAACTGATGCTCTCAGGGTACAAGAAATGAATTTTTTGGTCTACTATGTATTTGTTGATTGAATAAGGCTTCAAAGTTAAACATATTTTTCTAATAAACAAGTCTTATAAGAAAGAAAACATATTAAAGATTGCTATAGGCTGATATAATAGTTCTTAACAGAGCAACTTCACAATTTTATGTTAAGAACTGTAAGAGATTTCTCATTAGTAATGACTTACCTACATTCTTCATCACTTTTAATGAGTGGATCAGAGCCAACTGTGCCTACCAAGAACTTTGGACTAAGCAGTGGCAGGCGGACATGTTGCAATACCTGTCAGTCAAGAACAGTGGATCAAAAATCTGATGCTATATTACTCCAGGAGACCTAGCAAGTTCCAGTGGTTAAGTAAGTGTTTTCTGTGATGTTGCCAATTCAGCTTTAGATCAGGTTATCACATGCCTAAGAAAGGGACACTTTCATCTTACAAGTAACAAGAAACATAAGGATAATGATGCTAACATGGGAATCAGATCCTGCGACAAATCCAGATGTCTACTCTGCTCCCACATTTACAGCAGCAGCACCATCACAGGTCTCAACAACACCCATAAGTTTAGAGGCATCTTCACATGCTCTTCCTCTGATATATGCCATCATCTGCCTTCAGTGCCCCTCTCTATTCCACATAGGACAAACAAGCCAAATTTGGAAAAGAGAAACTTTAACAGCAATTGGACAAGAAATTGCTGAACTCACATACATCAAAAGGTTTCAGGTTATCTCAGAAGGTCTCAACAAATACAATGGCACTTTAACACATTACAATTGTTAATTGATAAGTTATTTGTAATCTGTCTCACATGTAACCTGCATCTGCATAATCACCCCGTCTTCTCCTTCTTTCCCCCAACTTCAATTTAAGTCCTGCGTCAATTAAACCACTCCATGTATCTGACACACAAAGGTCACTCACAAAAGTTTATGCCTTTTAATAAAATCAGTCTGAAAAGCTGCTGCCAGTTTTCTCCTAATTGCGGTTCAAATATCATGCCAACCCAGCTAAGCGAGGGCTAAAGTGAAATGGCATTCCCAAGGTTATCACTTAATACACAGGAGAGAAATTTTTGGAGGTAGGGAACAGATCTAACACTTTAAAGAAAGCACAGTAACTCAGTGGTACCACTGTGTGAAGATGTCAGGGTAATCACCAGAACCTTATCCTTAACAGAGCTCCCCTTCTTTCTATAAAACAGACTACTGTCTCTAGTGCAGGTGGTCCCTGGCCCATGCTTCAGCCCAATGAAAAAAGGTACTGTTTGTATTTTGCCAGAGCTGTTCCACCTCTTCCCTCTTCCCCCAGAAGAAACCCAAAAGAAGACCAATTGTGGCAAAACACACTCAGAAGTTGGAGAAGTGGCAGCCTTCATTCATACTACCTTTACTGCAGATATCTGGAGGCCTAGCTGTTGAGTTGCAATATAGAATGCCTAAACCCTGAAATCCTTCTTCCTTATGCTAAAAGCCCCATCTGCAGGAGGTGGGCCTACTTGATCCTTTACAAACCTGCTGGAAGCATGTTGGAGATTATGTTTATATAAGATGTATTACTCTTGCCAGTGTCTGTGCCACAATTCCTAAGACCAAGACTCAGAGTTTTGGGTATCACCTAGTACAGAATAGGGATGAATGAACTGCCATTTCACATTCTAAGAAGATGCATTTTCAAACAAGCAACTCTTCTTTTGTTCATATTAACCAACAATAGCACTGTAAATAAATAATAAAGAAATGTGTATCCTGCAAAATAATATGTTTGCATATGTCCAATCATGTAAGAAAATTATTTGGGGGGGTACCTGAGGAAGCTGAGGTCGCCTTTCTTGAATGCTGTATTTGACCCAAGCCATTACTGCATTGAACACCTGCTCTTCGCTCCGGACGTTGAGTTCATCACTGGAAATGATGTCAATAAGCTGATTGGCTGGAAGCAGCATGAATTCCTCACTTTCCATCACCTATACAGAGATAAGATTAAAAGTAAGCAGAGCCATTTGGAAATGGAGAAGTCCTGTTGAAAAAAGCACTTCAGCACCTTTTGCTTCTGCAGATTTTTGCGTAGACATTTCACAACATATCTAAAGCAATATTTTTACATATGGACAAATTTTATGTAAGAAATATATTATTTATTATTAATCCATTAATATAAATTATGTAAGTTCAAAATCACCATGGGTCATCTGCTTTGAATCCAGAAGGACTAATGTAAGATCTTTGCCAACTATGGGTTAAGAATGGCCTTTGTCAAGTTGTCCTCACAGGTCTCAGTTTTATCATTTGTAATTAGGAAATAATGACAACCCAAATCCTAAAATGCTATTGAGAGGATAATTCATTTCAACAAAGCAGTTGCATTTGTCATATGGGCAAAAAACAATACAGAGAGCCTAAAGCAAAATTACCCAGCATACTGTAGGCAAATATAAAAACACCTTCTGATCTTGGTTTCTGGCGAAGACAGAGTGCCTCAGGGTTACAAGATGGACTCACTTTATCCCACCTCCTTTTCATTTGTTTTCTCCAAATATATACAGAGGCTGTGCACCTCAGAGGGACAGACTGCAAAAGCTGCCAAGCACTGAAGTGGGGCGAAATACAAGCTCCCGACAAGCTGCAGACATGTGCATAAGCATTCCTTCTTGGCCCTCAGTAGAAAACAAATTTCTCCAAAGACACAAGAGGACCCAGAAAACTTCTCCTCTAACATACAAAACTAAGAAAAAAGATATTATCTTGTCCCGTTGCAATCAAGCTAACTGAAGGAACTTTCTGTAATCTCTTTTGTGGACTGCTTTTGGGAAACAGCAGCACAAAATGCAACAGTTTTGCAGAACTTTACATCCCCTAATCCCCAGTTTCCCAGGCGGGTAGGTTAAAAATCACTTAAGATAAAAAATAAACTAGTTTTAATAATGAAACCATATCTGGAATTTTACTGAGAATATTGACACTGGGTTCAGATTTTCCTCCTCCTCTCCCAAAAGCCAAATGCATTAAGCAAATGGGGAAATCCTTAATTTATCTTCAAAGGTAAGATCTACCTGATCTTGTAACACAAAAATTCAGTGTGATGACTTTTTAATTAAATAATGCATTTTATTCTAATGAGTAACTGTGAAGATTTTAGAATATTTCTGGTGAAGGATAATATGTAAACATCTTTAAAAAAATTTCAAATAAGACATTCTAATAGGTAGCTTTTTCTGCAGCTGTGGCAGCAACGTATCATTCATTGGTGTTGTTTAAATAGAGGCTGGACTCATTTGTTGGGGATGCCAGAGTCATGAATTGGCACCGGACAGGGAGGTTAGACAAGATTATCTCCAAAATCCCTTCCTTTACATTCTACAATTCGATAAACTTTTAGAAAGTTCTGTTGTTTACCAAGCAAGTTATAGATTTCAAATCATTTTATTCTAAGAACTATGTCAACATTTTATTCAAATATCTATTTTTTCTCATATATTATACCAAATAGTTGAAACAAAAAGAAAATGCATGCAGAAGAATAATGCAGTAGAATTTAGATTTTAAAAAATTATGATACAAAGACATTTAGCCCTATTACACCATACACATTTTGAGCAATTATCACATTTCCATTCAGTTAAAGTAAAAATGCTCAAACATTAATCAGATCCCATAAATGAGGCCTGCAGCCAACTGTTTTGAAATATATGAAGAAAGAAAGAAAATTTCAGTTTTTACCCATAATAAAGTTATAGACACTTGTATTACAGATTAGGTAGCTAAAAATAGAGAAGAATGGTATGGAGCCCACAGAATCCCTACATGAGGAAAACAAACAAACAAAACTAACATTATGAGGAAGAAGGATTCTACCTCATATCTATTCTTGTTAGACGAAGCTTCTAACTGCAGGGAAATCGGTTTAGTTTATTTTTTTTTAATGCCAAGGACTCTTCAGAAAGAGAGTCTTCACCTACTGTGGTATAGTTCATGTTGCTACTTACTTCCAGTGTATATATTGACCAGATTTTAATTATAGGGCCACTCACCTCTTGAAAATTATGTTGAGTGAATTTATCAGCAATTCTAAGAAGTTCACGGCAAGAATGAGTATCAGCAAATGCCCGGATGCCAAGGCAGTTGGAAGGATCCAACTGTCTTTTCAGAAACTCACAGCAGGCTTCTTGGATCTCAGCTAGTTGGAGGAGGCAGGCAGCTGGCAGTAAGGTCTGAACATTGCCTTCTTCTACTGTAATTTGGGAAGTGTATGCAAAGTCAATCAGCAGTTCCATGGCCCTTTCATCAATGTCTCTGATCACCACCTCAGTCTGCCGGCTCTCTGCAAGTTCTCCCGTGAACATAGCTCGGAAGTAGGGGCTGCAGGCTGATAGGATGACCCGGTGGGCATAGATCTTTTTGGCCCCCACAACCAGCACCACATCACACAGCTCCCGGTGCTTACGCAACAAGTTGATAACCTCCAGTGTTTGGCGAGGGTGCTTGTCTGAGATGTAAGGCATGCGAGCAGGTTGTGGCACTCCTTCTGGTAGTTTGTTGGGATCTCCAAGAGTGCAACGGCTTGTTACGTCCATTCCGGTTTCACCTGCTCGGTTACTAGTACACCTAACAAAGGAATAAAGCAGTGAAACCAATGGATAGAACATTGCACCCAAAACGTAAGGCGGGCAAGCATCTAATAAACCAGAAAGGGAAGGAAAAGTACACTTCTTCCAGAGAAGTGTCATAAGATACTTCATCGTGACAGTCTTTTGATAAAAGTAATTCAACAATGGAAAAATCAGTAATGTACCTGTTTATATGTCTTTTTTCAAAGGAAAAGAGTAACACACTATAGCTAAAAATACCTTAATATGGAAATATAAGATTTGGACTGAACAGATTTCTAAGAAAGTATGCAGAATAAAATGAATGTAATACAAGATATTCTGGTAGGATCCAAATAGCCAAAGTTATGTGAAAACATTAATAAGCCAAACAGAAACTATGAAACAGCAGAACAATTTGGGTTATAAGAATTCTCTTTTCTTTTTTTTAATTTCTAGGGCAAAATTTTAAAATTTTTTCAAGACATTCAAATTCCAAAAAACATAATTTTAATTAGGGATAACTATGACAATTTCTCTTAAAAAAAGAGAAAAAAAAGCTATTGAAATAAAGTACATTTTAATTATACTCCTCAATTTCACTTAGTTACAATTTTTAACACAGAATTCCAATGCACCGGGAGAGAATCTGGGGATTGTTTTATGGTTGCTTTGCATTATTTCCAACATTTCTAGAATTATTTGGAAATAAGGTACACTGATATCAGCAGAACATACAGCCAACTTGTTCAACATTTTAGGCTATATCTGATAATGTGTCAGAAACTGCTTGAACTCATCTGATTGTCATCAATCTGGGCAGATGATAAACTGCTGTTTGGGGGACACTGCTTGGATTTTAGTTACAATACAGTGGTACCTCGGTTCACGAACTTAATTCGTTCCATGACTCTGGTCGCGACCTGAATCGGTCACAACCTGAATCAAATTTTCCCATAAGGTTCAATGTAATTACGGTTAATCCGTTCTGAACCATATGTATTTTTTTTTAAAAAACGCAAAAATATGAAACAAAATACA